ACCTTTTTTTGTTGTATGTGCTGTTTTTGTCTCTTACGGTTGGCTAAGTCTACTCAGAGGCAAATGACCTGAAATTTTTGTTCTTAGTGTTGATTTGGTATAAATTTGTGTATTGTGTTTGTTTTATCCTGTGGTCAGTAGGTAGAATGCACTATTTTTTTGATCACTGAATAGTATTCCGTTGTGTACACAGGCCATATTTTCTTGATACACTCATCTGTTTGGGGGCACTTAGGTTATTTCTGTAACTTAGGAGTATACTATTATTTTGAGAAAATACATTGACTTAAGCTGCTATTTGTTTGTACTAATTTGCAGTTTTCAAGCAAGTAGAAAACTGCCCCAAGTGGATGTTGAAGCTGCCCCCAAGCCTGTGTTCCTTCAGAATTTTGACATCTGTTGGTGATAACAGTTTACAGTCACCTAGTGGGTGTCATCATTAATGCAGAGCCATGATATGTGACCCTGGTGCTTGCTGTTCTTCTAGTCAGAGTCAAAAAACACTTAGTTTTCATGTTATTTATAACAGAAACAATGATTGCTTGAAGACGTTTCTGTGAGCAGAGGTGGAACACTTGGTTTATATGCTGAAGGAACGATCGAATTCATTCTGAGGTTACAGGAGATAGATGGCTAAGAACACAGAGTGGGCTGTTCATGTGCTTTGTACTTATCGAAGGGCAAGAACAGTTTTGGACTTTTAAATACTGCATTTATTTTAGAATTTCAGGTCAAAAATCATTGCATTGTTGACCACTTTCTCATGGCCAGAAATGAGTGCTTTTTAAAACATGGAGACTGTCACTAGAAAGCAAAGGAAAATAAATGTAAATACAAATGGCAGCAAAAGTGGAAAAAGATGTTTTACTTCATTAATATTTAGAGAAACATTAATGTTTTTGAGTGTGCATATTATTGTTACTCTGCAGATTGGATATTAGAACTAAAAATTTTTTAAGCAGTGTTGGTAAGAGTGTGAGAGAATGTAAACCTTTGTATTCTGGAGGTGTCTATTAGTTTATGTTCTGTTGATAGGAAAAAAGAAATTAACACTGTCCCTGTGGAAGTACAGAGACTAGGCTTGTTAGACAGTTTATTTTCTAAAATTTTACTCCTTTATATTGAGGAAACATTGGTTTACAGCACTGGATATGATTTAAGGATCTTTTTGTTCCTACCTTTTCTGACATATGTTACCACACCACACCCACAATCCTCCACTCTCGTCCATTGGGCTTCCCCTCCTCTTTTCCCCTATTTCTCTAGTAGCCTCCTCTTATAGTCAGATTTCTAGGGTTTGTTTTGGTTTAGGCAAAGACTTTAAATTGGATGTCTCAAATGTGTGAAGGAAACCAAGAGAATGTCTCAGCCAATAAAGAATATCAATAGAGGTAGAAAGTTTAAAAAGGAACCAGACATTCTCGTCCGTTGGCCTGGACAGAGCGTACACTTACTGTACCCTTCTGTGGCCGATTTTAAGTGGAGAGGTCAGGGTGACTTCCCAAGACACTGATTATATGTAGCTGTTAATTTTTCCTTTGAAGGCCGCAGCCAGCCCCACCCTGTTGGTCATTCCTTTATTCATTCATGCCTTCATTTAGGAACAGTTATCTAATTTATATTTCCTAATTAACAAGTCCAATCCTTCCATTTTTTAATGCAAAGGATTGGAAAATGAAATGAGAACTTCTAGAGGAGTTCAGCAGCACATTTGAGCATACAGAGGAAAGATCCAGCAGGCTTGCAGGTAATGTCAGTTGAAATTGTTCAGCTTGAGAAGCAGAAAGAAAAAAGAATGAAAAAAATAAGCAGAACATAAGAAATCTTTGGGGCACCATCAGAGTGTATCATGGCATGGAGAGGGAGAAAGGTATAGAAAATATATTAGAAGAAAGAATTGTCAGAGCCATTTTTATATCCAAGAGGCTCAACTAATTTCAGGTAGAATAAATGCAGAGAGATCTACACCTCTTCAAACAGTCTAAAGATTGAGAGAAGTTGAAAGCAACGGGAAGTATTCTTTTAGCATACACGGGGTTTTCAGTAATAAATTGACCTTTCAGCACAAGGCCACGAAGGCCAGTCGGCAGTGGGATGACATATTTATGGTTTTGGAAAAGAATCTCTGCCAGCCAGGATTTCTAAGTCTGGCAATTCTGTCCTTCCAAAGCAAAGAAGAAATTAAACCATTCCTAGATAAACCGTAGCTGAAGGAACTTATTACTAACAGACTTTCCTTTTAGGACATGTCAAAGGATCTTTCAGGGCTCCCGAAGATTGACCTTATTTTCTGGAGTAGCGTTAAAGAATATAGATTTTAAGTAAGCCCTGTTGACTCTCATACAACATCAAAAGCCTCACAGGGAGATGTCTTTTTCTGTTCTTCAGATTGATAAAAAGTAAAAAATTAAAATTCAAAAGATCCTGTGACAACAAGTGCTTTCCAGGATTTTATACAGTGGAAACTCTTAAACACTCAGTGGACATGTAAACTAGTACAACTGCTTTGGAAAACAATTTGGTATTGCCTAGTAAAGCTAAAGGTACCTAGACAATATTGGAGCTGTGCAGACCGCAGAGAAACCCCCGCACACCTGAGCAGAAGACATGTGCAGAAACCTCACACTGCCTGTGTGTCATGGTGAAAACTGGAAACCATCCAGATGTTTATTGAGAAGAGAAAAACCTCAAAATGTGCAGCATAAAGTGCATGAGACTGAATAGATAACAAACAGTGCCATGCGTGAGCATATGGGCCCGAGAAGCCAGTGCTTTCAGAGATGCTGCAGTGAGGCGCGTCTTCCCTGGACGTGGCCCTTTGTAGTGGAGCCTGAAGAGGAGCAGGCGAGGCTGCTAAACTTAGGGTAGCGGTTTCCTTTGGAGATTGCGGGGGGAGGGGGGTCTCGCTGGCTTTGGTGATATAGGTTATGAGCTGGTTGCAGGCAGATAGGTTTTATTTTCTTATGATTCATGGTACTTTGCATGTACCATAACTGTGTTAAGATAAAAATGTTAAGGACTATGTAAAATAAAAACATCACCGCTTTGCCATTAAGAATCATATAACTGTGTGTTCTGAGTCAATGTAAACTTTTTTTGTTATTCCATGGCATTTAGCCCTGTTTAACAAAACCTATAGTTTCTTTTTCCTTTTATTTGAAGGGTGGGAGAGGGTCTGTGTTTTCCCACTTGAAAATGAAATCCATTAGGGCAGACAATTTTGGTGGGTTTTTTGTTTTGTTTGTTTTGTTTCAGTGGTTTTTCCGCTGGTTTGCCCTAACCCTTCCCAGAAAGCGACTGGACTTTGTCCATGCTCAGCAAGTATTTGGACATGAGTGAACCTGTGTTAAAGCCTGGCACATAGGTACACACATATGCCTGTGTGTGTGCACAGGTGATCAAAGATACGGAATTATCCACACTCTGGGTAGAGCCAGGGCTAGGTGTTGGTTATGGCTGAGAGAAGGGAGCCTATATTGTACTATGTGCCCTCTTCAGTTGTATATGCATTTTATCATAATTTGCTTTAATTTAAAAGGGAGGAGACATCTTTGAAAATCCAGAAGCAAGTTGTAAACTGGAGAAAATGAGTAAAAAATAGCATTTTTGATAACGTAACTAACTTTGAAAATTGATTTTCCAGCTGTGGGGACAGTAGCTTGAGGTAGAGCAGGGTCTGCAGTCAGCTCGGTGTCGTGTGCCCGGGGCTACTGCCTCTCATGGGCACTCTGGAGGCTTCTGTTCTGTGGGGCCTCTAGGAGGAAAGGCAGTTTGGGGGTGGAGGGGTGTGAGGCTTTGGAGGCCTGCTCATAAACTGAGCAGCTTTGTGTCCCTGTTATTACAGATGCAGCAGATAAGTTTTTGTGTTTTGAAACATTATCATCAAAAAAATAGGATGTGAACAAGACTTACATATGGGTGGATAGAGCGAAATGAGACACACTTGATTGAAGTCCTGAAATAACTGGCACACAGATACGTAAAATTTAATGTTTTTAGAGGTGATTTGTTTTTCCATTCGTTCACTGCCTGCTGATCCCGTGACTAGCCCCAGCTGACAGCCAGTGATGCTCCCCGGCCCCTGCGCTCTTAGTGGGAAACAGGTGCTGCGGACGGTCCTGCTGATCTCCCTGCCCTGCTTAGGCCAGCTTTGACTCTGACCTGTCTGATGAGCATCAAGATCAGAAGCATTTTATATAGAGACCTCTGTCTGCACGTGGGGCTAATGATGCTTTTTTTTTTTTTTTACAAGTGTGTACATGTATCCACTTTATTTAAATCTTAGGTTTTGCTAAGTGTGAATGTAGATGCCATTTGTTATATGATTGAGCCAAGTGATTGATTGTGCTTAGGGAAATTGTCCATGATCACATTTGCCTTGTATTTTTAATCCATAAGGGTTAGCTGGTCAGAGGCATGTGGACATGAGCTCATTGTTAAGGCTTCTTTTCCCCCATGAAGAAAATTAAGTTTTCAGTATGTTTTTCCCCTTTTCTGCATGTGTTTGAAAGACTTCTCTTTTTTCTTTCATGAAAATGGGGGTTGGGAGCCCTCCCTCGTGGTGCAGTGGGTTAAAACACAGTACTCCCAAGCTAGCCCCCGCCACTGCAGTATAAGTTCGATCCCCAGCTGGGGAACTAACCCACAGGGCGCGGCAGACCTCTCCTCTCTTCTGGCTGCTCCCCTCAGCAGTGTCCTTCGTCAGTCTGCCTGTTCTGCTCCCCACTCTATCTCTGGTGAATCCTCTCACGGCCCCTGCACCTCTGGCCTGTACCCCAGTTCTGTCTGCATAAGCAAACAAATCTTTAAAAAAAAAGAAAATGGAGGGTTGGGGTAAGAACATATCTTTAGTTGGGAGCTACTGAATCTTGAAGTGTCAGAAGTTACTCTCTTTTACCAATATTTCTTTTTCCCTTCTTTGCCCTCTTAAATCAATAACATGGTTGATTTCTGGTTTTTACTAGTTCTTGGACCATTTTGGCCATACGATGTTTTTTCAGGACATCAGACCATTTCTAAGTAGTAATCCACTGGACCAGGACAATAGAGCCAATGAGAGGGGCCATCAAACTCACACAGACTTCTGGGGACCGAGCCGACCTCCACGACTGCCTGTGACTCGGAGGTACAGGTCACGCGGCAGCTCTCGCCCCGAGAGGTCCCCAGCCATCGAAGGGTGAGTCGGAGGGGTTTTGGGCTTTCTTTAAAGGCAGTTTCAGTGAAGGATATATCACTGCCATCTTTATGAGGTTCAAATACCTGTTACATTTGTGGACTGGATGGAGATAGAAGGACCCTGAAAGCGAGGCTAAATTGAATGTCAGTATTTAATGAGTACGGGTGAGAGGGGTCATTGAAAACTAAGGTCACGAAACACTATGCCAGAAGCCCTGGTTAATATGTTTATTGTTTCAGATTAGTACATACATAATGTGTTTGTTTATTAAAATTTCAGAAAATAGTGAAAGGATATCAAATATGTTGGATAACATTAGGTTTTAAGAAGGCTTACCAGATGGGAGTGGTGGACTTGCTGTGACATTTCATAGGCATAAACAGAGTTTGTGACTACAAACAAATGTCATAAAACAAATGTTTGTTGAGTGTTTTATGCCAGGACACTGTACTAGGTCCTGGGATGTAATGCTGATCAAAACCACTGTGGTCCTTGACCTCCTGGGTCCTAGTTAGTAGGAATAACAAGCAGTATTTGTGTTTCTGAGATTTTATTTAAGCACATGGGGCGTAGTCCCTGGCAGCTGCCTTTCGTGTGCTGGCAGGACGCTGCTCAGCAGCAGACCTCTCCTGCCTGCCGCCCTTTCTTCAGCCGTGGTGGGTTTCAGTGGCTCCTCCTGTTCTGCCCCTCCTCTGTCTCTGGGGAATCCTCTCACCCCCTCATGTCTGGTCTAGACCCCTGTTCTCGTATACATGAGTAAACACAATAAATCTTTAAAAAAAAAAGAATAAACTGAGACTCAGAAATCAGGTATCGAAGACGCCTCTGCTGAATTATCTAATATGGCCACTGCCCGTCATCACTTGTACTGATGGCAGTATTTAAAAGTCAGTAACCTCTCCCCATCTTCCCCAGGATTGTTTCAAAAGCCCTTCCTTTGTGCACCCCCAAAGCACCAATGTCTTCACCCTCTATGCAGAAAAACAATGAAAATTGACTAGAATCATCATTGTCAGGAGACATGATTCACACTGGCAAGGAGATTCTCTTCCAAGAGAAACAAGTTCTGTTCAACCTAAACAACATGGCCTCAGTCTCCACCACACCTCTAGAATTCCTTGGGAATTCGAGACTCCTGATTCAGTAGATGACTCCAGGGCATCTGTAGAACCCTGACTTGCACTTAGGCTGTCAGTACTGGTGTTTTTCTGGTGTGTGTCAAATCTGATGGGAGCTGAGCATTAGGTGAATGAGGAAGCTTGCAGACTGCTATCAGTGCTGGGCTGGGAAGCGGCTAGTCATCAAGTAGATACCTTCAAGAATGTGAAGAGGGAAAACTAAAGTCGGCTTCAGTAAACAATATAATGCTTTATCTGTAATGCTGATTTGTGACCATTTTAAATCCTGTAGCCAAATTTGGGGGGAAATAGGGTTGACTTTATTTAAAAGTACATCTTTGCTGAGTTCAGTTTTACAGGTCATCTTGGGTCAATCTACTTCATAAGGCTGCTGGGGAAAGTCATATAGTTGGTGTCAATACAAGTACATGGTTTCCAACTTATCTTTATGTATTTTCAGTTACTATTATCCCTAAGAAAGAATAAATTTGGGAGAAAAGATCTGAGTTCAGTTGTGAACATATATCGGAGGTGCTTATGTATATCTAAGTGGTATTAAGCAGGCAGAGTTCTGACTGGAGATGAAACGGAGAATTTGTTGCCTAAATAGAGTATTTAAAATTATAAAACTGCATAATTGCCAGAAGAATGAAAGCAGGAAAGAGAAGAGCTCAGAGAACTGAGTCCTGGGCTCTCATTGATTGGAAGTTTAAAAGAAGCAGAGGAAAGGACAGGCAGAGAAGTGGGGACCCCAGAGCGTGCAGTTCTGGAAACTGGGGAGACTCTCCCTGATCTGAGCATGTGTTTCCCTCTAGACTCCGGATTAATTTTCTATTGCTAAAATAAAATATAGCCCCCACCCCACTTTAGCTACCTTTTGTTTTAACAAGAAGACATTTTATGTTTTTAACAAAACAACAAAAGTATCATAATTGAAGATTATCTCCTGACAACAGCTTGGACACTCATTGGTGGCAGGCAGAGTGGTTTCTCTCTGTTACTGCTTTAAAAACTTGGGGCCAACCTCCGGCTTCCAAAGTAAGCAGCCAAGAGAGAAGAATCCCCGGCTTACAGATGAGATGTCTACAGGAAACGAAGCTCTCTCTCCAACTTGACTGCCGTTAGCTTACTGCTCAGTTCAAAGGTGTGATCATATGCTCTGCTAGTTACTAGCAAGTAAGGAAGTTAGTTTTGTATAGCAGAAAACCCCACAGTATAGGAACTTGTTACAACAAGCCTTTGATACGCTCAGAGCTTCTGAGGGTCCGGGGTTTAGAAGTGACTTAGCTAGTCACTTACATGGGATAGAATTTTATGAGATTATAATGAAATGTCAACTCTGGCTACACTATCATCTGAAAACTACCTGGGGCTGCATTTCCAGGATGGTTCGCTCGTGGCTGTTAGCAGGAGGCCTCAGTTCCTCCTCATGTGGGCCTGGCCCCGGCCTTCAGTGTCCCCATAACTTCACAGATGGCTTCCCCAGAGTAAGGCCCATGGAGGCAAAGGGAGAAGCAAAGAAACCATAATGCCTTTATATTCTGACCTTGGAAACCGCACACGGTCATTTCTGGAATATTTTACTTGGAAGAAGTACCACATTCAAGGGGAGACTTAATCTCCACCTTTTGGAGGAGGGAATATTAAAAAAATTCATGGACATTTTAGAACTATCTCAGTTCACTCTCTAGTCACAAATTACTTACATTTCTTCATGTGCAGAATTTACTTCCTCCCAAGACCTACCAAAGACTTGTCCCTTTACAACTTCAGCTTGAAATCTGGATTGTCATCTGTTATGCCCAAGTGTGGATGAGGGTCCTTGGGTGTAAGGTGAAAATAGCAGTCCCACAGTGCTCAAGGGCGAGAGGCTGGCCGGGTGAGGGCAGGGAGAGAGGTCCACTCTGGCACCTGAACAGCCCTTGTTAAGGAGCTCCGAGCCCCTCCATCTCCTCCTGCTGCTGCTGCCAGGGGCGCAGGGGTCTGAGGAAGATAGTTTGAAAACTGCACCATATAGCCAGGTCCCCTCACAGTCTGATTCACAAAAAAGGCCATGAATTCCCGAAACGGCAGCACGTAGGCCGTAGTAGCAAAAGCACGTGCTGCCTGATAGCACACTGCATTTGGGTGCTGTTGACTGGATGCTGGGCAGGAGAAGCCACTGTGGTTTGGGACAGGAGTTGGTGACCGGTCAGCCATGGCTGTCTGCAGAGTACTTTCACTAGCCTGTTGTCTTACCACATTTTTTTCTCCAACAGAATAATTCAACATATTTTTGCAGGATTCTTTGCAAATTCTGCAATTCCTGGATCCCCACATCCCTTTTCCTGGTAAGTAATTAAAAGTTTTCTATCTTAATCTACTGGACTAGCGTCATTTTAGGTACTGTGCTTCTGTGCTATAGTGAGAAAGAGCTGCGTAGGTGAGTACGGAGGCGTGATTGGCTGACTGTTCCGATGACTGTTTTTATCTGCTGAGGCCAAACTTAATCAGAACTTTGTCCTTATTGTTCAGACTCAAGAGAGCCGCCCTGGTCGCCTTGATGTCCGGGTGTTGGGTGGGTCTCCCTCTGTTCACATGCTGGCCTGAGGGTTGTGTTGGGGTCAGGAGTGAGATGGTCCCTGCTGAGCTTGGTATTTGATTTGTGGATTTTCTCCTCTCAAGCATATGGGAAGCTTTTATTCCTTAGGAATTTCAGAAATTGAAAACATACTGCTTCACTTCAGAAGAAGCAAAAGGCTGTCCATAGCAGAGTGACACTTGCGTGTGGTGGGGGCTGAGAGGAACTTCCTTCTCATCTGGACAGTTACTTAGCACTTCTGACTCTGCCCCTGGAGGCTTCTTTGCTCCGAGCGACCTCCATCCTTCCAAATACATTTGCTGTTTTCCAGCCTCTGGTTCCTCTAAACATGCTCCAGCCAAAGCCTCTGGGCGCCATTGCCCAGGTGGCTGTGCGCCCCCAGCTCCACAGGCAGGCGCTGCCAAGGCCCTGCCGTGATTGCTCTGAGTTGTGACGTAGCAGCTGGTGACTGTGGCTTCTCAATGTGAAGCTCTGCATTCCCACCACTGCGGGCAGCTGCTAGAGCCGGAGCAGTCGGCAGACATTTCCAGTCATGACAGGAAAGCTCTCCTTAAAAAGTAGCTCCGTCTGGGCTTAATGTCAGTGGGTGCAGAGAAGACGAAGTTTCCTTAACCAGCAGCCACTGAGTCACGCTTTCTGCTGTGGCATGTCGGGTGGTGCTTTCGATAGCATCACATTTTATGTTCAGTTAAGTAAAAATTCTGGTAGAATGAGACCTGCCACTGGGTAATCTATTCAACCTTGAAAATAGGAAGAAACTCTTTGCCACTCAATTCTAGATGCCTAGTACTTCCCAGCTCAGAGTGACAGAGCCTTCTGCCAGTTTTCCTGTGCTCTGAGGCAGAGCTTGGTAGCCCATCTAATGCTGTCTGTTTCATCTCTCGTCTAGGAGCGGGATGCTGCACTCCAGCCCCGGGGACTATGCCTGGGGTCAGGCCGGGCTCGATGCCATCGTAACCCAGGTGAGGAGCTGTCTTTTGAGGGTGTCTGTCCAGTGTCTCACAGTTCCCAGGCCTCCTGCTTTCCTTCTGCTACTTTCTAAATAGCAGTCACCTGCTTGCCCTAATATTTGAGCTTACGGGTTTCTGTTGTACAAAAGGGTTAATGGTTTTTGGGTCTGTTTAGCTCAGCATTCCTGTGCCTTCTGGGGCCTAGGAGCTTTCTTGAAGGTGACTACTTCCACAGGAAGAAATGACTTCTATAACAACTAGTATTTTGTATTTGGGCTCTGGTGCAGTCGTACGAGGATCCTGTTAATATGGACTCTTCAGAAGGAGGGTCTGCTTACGTGCTGACCGGGGAGTTCTGCTAGGTGGAGCAGAGTAGGGAAGGAAGCAGAGAAGAGGCATTCCCATGCCATGTGTGAGTGCTTCCCTGCTAGTTTAATTTAGTGTAACTGGGCTTCCATTTCCCTGTGGGCTGCTGAGAATAGAAAGCGTGTCATGTATGTCCAGTCTTGCAGGCAGTAATTTACTTCTTTCTTGGCCCGCCTCTTGCTGCTTCCCATGCTCCCACCCTCTTCTTCCTGCGGCAAAACGGACTTTTTGGGTCATCTGAATACTGCTTTCTGCTGCACTGTCGTTTGTTCGTGGCATCGCAGCCCAGGAATGGGCCGTGTCTGTGGGCTTACAGTAACGGCTCTCTGCAAGGGCAAAGCTCCCGGGCGTTCTGGCAGCCGGAAAGACAAGCCTCGGTCTTGCAGAAGTGAGAGCAACTGACGTTTCTAACACCGCATGTCTGTTCCAGCGCAGCAGCTCCGCCTCGGGGGCTGGGAGGTGTCTGCCCTTCTTCATTTTCTTTTTCTTTTTTTGTAGCTTTTAGGACAACTGGAAAACACAGGGCCTCCCCCAGCTGACAAGGAGAAGATCACATCTCTCCCCACCGTGACAGTAACTCAGGAACAAGTTGGTGGGTTCATTTCCATACTTTGTCATGTTCTGTTCAAAATTCCGCCGCCTTTCTTTGTCAAGGAACTTAGAGTGGAGCTGGGGCTCGCCTCAGCCTCAGCCTCCTCCTGGGGCTCTAATCAGGCAGGAGGCCACCTGTCCCCTCATTTGAGTGCGCCAGCAGGTTCTTCCCGAGCAGGTAACCGGCCCCTTTTCTAGATGCCATGCACGAGACCAAACAGTGCAGAGGTGTGTAAGGCATGATTTGTGAAGAGCTTATTGGGGAGGCACAATTCGCACACATTAGATGACATTATAAAAACAGATGATCCTGACTTGGGGGGGGGGGGCCGGGCTCCACCCATCTACTCTGTCAGCTGCTCATGTTACTTATAAGCATTGAAGGAATTTAGCGAGAAGGAACATTAGTTGGCCTGGAGTTTCTTTTCCCAGCAGTTCTAGTTTAGAGTCAGAGAAGGTTTGAAAGACAGGATTTACCATTGTAGAGACGCCGTTCTATTTGAGGAAGAGTATGAATCAGTGTGAGAACGTCGGCATGGACATGATGTCTGAAGCTAAGAGAGCGACCTTAGTAATCCTGAAATAGAATCAGTTGGAGAACAGTGTGAGATGTAACTGGATAGAAGAGTGAGGCTGTGAAATGGGCAGAGTAGTTAGGGCTGGATGTTTTAAGTAGCAGGTGAGTTTTGTGGGTCCCCAAATGGAGGAATTTGAGAGGCTGGTTTAATTCTGTTTAAAATAGCTTGCGAGGGGGAGGAAGCAGAAACTGTTCTTTAAGAGGCGATTGTAGCGTTCAGGTGTGGCGGTCCATGCGCTGGCGTCAGGATGGAAAGAACAGGCTCAGGAGGCCATTTGGAGAACAGGTCTTTGTCACTCGGGCGTGATGGGCCGTCAAAGACAATGCCAGGAGTTTGCAGCTTTGTGGCTGCGGAGACGCTGTTGTCTTCAGCAGGGGTGTGGCCCTGGTTTGAGCAGGGAGGTGATGTGAATTTGTTGATTTTGGGGTGGTGGCTGGGAGTTCAAGTGAAGGTGAGCGGGGGCTGCCACAAGGCAGGCCTGAGGAGCAGCAGCCTGAGGGGCAGTGGCGGAGCAGAGTGCAAGGCGTACTTGGAGGCTGAAGGCCCAGATATGACCCGGGAGGCTGTGGCAGCGGAGGAGGGCACCGGTGGTGGGAGTGGACGGCACCCAGTCAGTGGCAGGCTCGGGGTTGGTGCGTGGAGTGCTGTGGGCCGTGGCCACTGGAAAGAAGCAGCTGGAGCAGTAGTCAGAGGTGGGAAATGCAGTGTGGAAGTTCTTGCTTGGTGCCACCGCTGTGTCCCCGGAGAGAAAGGGCTCCTGTTGGGAACCTGAAACCTCGGCTCCCCCTCCGGCTTCGGGGCCCTGCAGTGCCACCTGCTGGTGCAGCGTTTGGGCTCCTGCTGGATTGGGGGAGCACAGAAACAGGAGGGGGAAGCGACTGGGGGCGATGGGGAGAGTCCCTGGGTGTGAGGGGCAGGCCAGGTGTGCCTGTGGGGGCTGACACAAGGATGTTACCCAGGTGCAAAAGGTTTTTTCTGTCTTAGTTAACAGCTCACTTAAGCCCGTTTAGTTCGCATTCTGTACCTTGAAAAGCAGGCCTCGTGGCTCTGGCTGCCCAGGCCCACCGGAGCAGGCCGTTCTCCGTCCTTCTCTCAGCCTGCCACCTGCACCTCCACCCCACTTGGAAGCACAGCGCAGGCTTCTCTCCGGCCTGCCCTGGGTGCACTTGCTCCTCTGGGATGGCAGAGACACTGGGCAGTTTTCACTCACTTACTGTAACAGGCATCTCCTCCTCCAACAGACACGGGCTTAGAGTGTCCAGTGTGCAAAGAAGATTATGCAGTTGAAGAGGAAGTCCGGCAGCTGCCCTGCAACCACTTCTTCCACAGCAGCTGTATCGTGCCGTGGTTGGAACTGGTAAGCGCCACCGTCTGTGATGTCGCCCGTGCGCCTGTCAGACTCCTGGCGGTGGTACACCGTGGACACTGGCCTGCAGTGTTCGGTTTTCCGACTGGCCGATGCTCAGTGTCTTCGTGTCTGGGAGCCAGTCTAGGAGCCAGGCTCTCACTGGCCTGTTGCCTTTCTCTTTCAGCACGACACCTGCCCTGTTTGTAGGAAGAGCTTAAATGGTGAGGACTCTACTCGGCAAGCCCAGAGCTCCGAGGCCTCTGCAAGCAACAGATTTAGCAGCGACAGCCAGCTGCACGATCGCTGGACTTTCTGAAACTAAAGACCGTATCCGAGCCGGGCCGTGGGCGTCTGCCTGCCACGGAGGCTGTAAATTATATCAAAACAAAAGATAGTAGATGGATTTAGGATCACATAAGAAACCCCAACCCATAATATTAATGCAATGAGTGTTTTTCTTCTCTAAAGTTAGTATCTACAGATGGAATTTGTCTCTACAACCAAATGCCTCTTATTCCTGAATTCAGAGTGATCATTTTATAAGTGTGAAATTGAATTATGTGGGTCCCCCCGCCAGAGTAGTGTCAGTTCCCAGTAGCTAGGGCCTGCTCTTTGTCACGTTCCTTGTAGGGGATGTTCCCACTTCCTCCTCCACCCTCCACCTGCCCTCCAGTGTATTTTACAGTCATACAGTGGAACCAGGCCCTAAAGTCCTGCTGATATAAGTCCTTTTGTTTGAATAGTATAGAAGCATTTACTCTTGGCCCCGTGAGCCATGAGGTGAGGTCAGGACTGCTCAGGAATCTGAGACAGTGATTTCTGTTGTCTTGGATCCTCGGAGCAAATCAAAGGAAAGTGACAGGGGCAGGAGAAAGTGACTTATCATTGTGCCCTTTGGTTTCCTCTCTCTAGTTTTTACAAATATTTCACGAGAGGCGCTTTCCCCAGAAGCCAACGTGACATGCCGCAGGGGTGTCGTGTTGGTAGGAATCTGATTTTATTCCTTTTTGGGAATGAGTCGGACGGCACGCTGGCACAGGAGGACAGATGTTTCAGAGCTTCGATTCTGAGATTTTTTTAACGACCCCCAACTTGTGGTTTACTGTCTTTTATTCCGGGAACCTTACTTTCCCACACAGAAAGAGAATTACTTCGTTACTGCTCCTACAGCCAGTTCACTGTTTTTAGTAATCCACTAGTCTCCAGACTGTAATTTTACATGGTCTCATGTGAATATTTTCGGCCCCATTTCATCTCTGCGACTTCTCTGTTCTGCTTAGTTCTGGCTACACTTGGAGTCAAACTGGTTGTTGTGATCATGCCCAAAACTATTCGACCTAGGAGAAATAGCCTTATTTTTTCAGTCTGACCGTGTCCCATGCACGTGCACATGCTTCTTGGAGCATGTAAATGTTTAAAGTTGAATAAATGAGAAGATCAAGGATGTTGTTGGAACTTCAGCGTCTCCAAAGGAACAGAGGGCGAGATAGCTGCGGTGCGTCCTCCCTTCGGAGACGGCGGGGTCAGAGCCAGAAGGCCCCCGGGGGGTTGTTGACTGTCGCGAGCTGAGGTGGGAGGCGACACCTGACGTGGGGGCTGGAGATGCCTTTGTCTCCGGTCCCGTCCGTAAAAGGTGAGCATAGAGGGCAGGAGCGCAGGGCAGGAGCGCGTGGGGGGAGCAGCCTGCGGGAGGAGGAGCCGCCTCGGCATGGCGCGGCCGCGGCGCCGGGCAGGCTGGGGGTGGCTATCTCTGCCCGTGCCGCTCATGTCACGCGCACCCCTCTGCAGACCGTGGACTGCTCGGCGCAGCTATGATGTGTCGCCTGCAATGCATTTGCTTTGCATGGCGGGAGGCAGCAAGGCTGGGGAGGCGACTTAGATGGGGACGCCGCTCCGACGCGGGAGCACGTGCGGCTCTCGAGTAGGATGAGATCCGCTGTCCCAGACAAACCAGGGCGTCCGGGAGCTCCGTCTGCCGTCGGCGTGTGCAGGGGTCAGGGCAGTTGTGCTTTTACGTGTAATGGAAAGCTCGGAACGGTCCGAGGGCTTCACAGAGGGAAGGAGATTAAAGTGCCGGTGGGTTGGGATTTATTTGCCTTTTCAGCACACACAATAGCAAGCAACACACGTCTGAATTACTGGAAAATTTCTTCGGTTATTTTGCTCAGATGGAGGATAATAAGGTCATTTTCGTTTCCTTAACCCCTCCCAGTTAATGACCCGGTCGTGTTTCTTCCTAGAATAGGAGGTGTTGGAAACGTCCAGGTTAATTTAGGCTGAGGGAGGATATTGATTGGGGTTCTCCAGAGAGACAGAGCCAACAGGGTGTGTGTGTAGAAAGAAATTTATCGTGTGAGGTCCTGGAAACTAAGGAGTCCCTAGCTCCAGCTTGGTTCTAAAGGCCTGAGTCTGGGAGAGCCTACGCTTCCAGTCCCAAAGCCAGAGGGTTCAAGGTCAAGCATGTCAGTGCAGGAGGCTCAAAGGCAGGAGAAAGCCGCTCTCCCCGCTGAAGTAGTGGGGCGGGAGGCGCTTCCCTGCCCGCGGTAGCGCCACCATCTGCTCTAGTCAGACCTCCGACCGATGGCTGACGCGCACACCCACGCCGCAGGGCAGTCTCCTCGTCTGCTGACCCAGATGTGAGTCTTGTCCAAAAATATCCTCATGACACACTCAGGATGGTGCTGTATTAAACGCGAGGGATCGTGGCCCACTGACATTGACATGTAAACTTACCATCACCAAGAAGAGAAACAGAAGTTGTGCCCACAGCAGTGATCCTCATCTCACTTGACGTTTTGGCAAGCACACACTGTGTGTCTGTGAGAAATGTTTCTCTGCCATGCCTGGAGCCCAGAGGTGTCCCGAGACAGGTCTGCCTGCACTGTGCAGGGGACTGGCCTTTCCTCCTCCAGCCAAATTAGCCTGTGAGTCTGAGAGACCATGCGTTCTGGGAAGAAACTTCCAGATGCATTAGTTTAGCAGGAGACGTAGTCGGGGGTTGGAACTTATTTCTAGAAATGCGCTGCCCTTACATGTTTCAAGCATAGCTTAGACATCGTGCCCAAGGCAGGGGGCATAGAGCCTGGGTGTTTCAGGTACTCAGTTCTTTACAGCCGCAAGGTGACAGAGCCAGGCCTCTCCCGCCTTTGTGAGAGTCGAGGGAGCGGTCCTTCACCCTCCCTTGATGGTCAAGAAGACGAATGTTACAATTTCAGCTCTGAGCCCTTCGCCTTGAGGCCTTTCTTTACGTCCAAATTGAATGGCCTATCCTTTGAGTTTGGGGCAGAGATCAGCAGATTGTTTTCTTGCTCGTGAATGTCTTTTCTTTAGCTTCCTCTTAGGAATTATAATTTATAATTATAATCTATAATTATAAGAAAGAGGAAACAGCTTTTTGCCCCAAAGCGATTGTTGTTTCTCTGGTAGCCCACCTCATGTTCAGATAGGTTAATTCTGGCCGGACACAACCCTGGCAGTTAGAGGGGAAGGGCAGGACAAATTCTGGCATAGACATTGTCCCTCAGAGTTCCTGTTGCCCGGTCTCTGTCCCAAGAGTTCAGAAACAGGGAGCGTCCAGAACGACCTATTGCTGCAGCCCCTTGCTTCCCTTACAGTAATGTTTCAGTTTACCAGAAAAAGGAGTCACGGTTGGTAAAGGATGTGGAAATGGCGGCCTCAGCTTGCAGTACCTGTGAGTCAGCCGCGGGCATCTGCCAGATGGCTGCGGGGCAGGCCTGCGAGCACTTTGTCCCAGTAGTGCTCTCGGATCCAGCCTCGGTTCCCCAGTTAGAAGGGCGCGATTGGGAAAAGACTTTGTTTGTTCCCCAAGTCTCCCTCTGCTAAGTAGCTGTTAGGTTCCTCTTCATGCCTTGGCGTCGTGCCGTGGGGTGTGTGTGAGGGCCTGCTCTGGTGCACTAAGTGCTTGTTCAGCTAAGGAGGAAGTAGGGGTGGGGGCAAGGGGAGCCTCTGTCTGACCTTGAACATTTTTTCTTGATGAATTACTGACACCAAGTCAAGTGTTCTCATGACCTGCGCGCTTCCCTTTCCTCCTTGATGTTCAGTGCTGTCTCCCCCAGGATACACAACACCGAAGCTAGCGAGGAGCGACGTGTCGTCTGTCTGTTTCAGACAGCGTCAAGATGGCCCCTGGGAGGTACCGGGCCCTTCTGAGTCGGGAGTTAGCTGCCGGCGCTGGCAGCCTCTGGCACCGTGGGGCAGGAAAGTGGTAGAGAAGGGCCGTGGCGGGGACAGGCCCTCTTGGCCTCTGCGGGTGAGCGGTGGGCAGGTGTTGCGGCTTCCGCGGACCGGGGCCAGTCCTCCCTCAGCCTCCGCCCGGGCTGGACGAGCCCGCGTGTGCAGAAGGCCGCGCTTCCTGGCAGGGAAACCGCCGTTGGTGACCCAGAAGGCATTAGGGGGTGTTGATCCGCCCTGCCTGCCAGACGGGTAGAATTCCAGGCGTTCCACTCTTAAGATTTTGTAAATGTGATCTTCACATTTTGCGGCCCCATCACGCTTAGATGCGTCTGCAGAAGTGGCATCTACGCAGCCTTTCCCTGTCGCCGCCGCCACTTGCAGCTGAATCCCGCGCATGGGCCGGGATTGCTCAGCTTCCTCCAGCAAGCTGCGCCCTCTTTGGAGGTCCGGAAGGTATGAGATCCCCTCCCAGCAAGGTTGTAGCTGTAATTGTCAGTATCTTCTGAAGAAGAAGAAGAAAAAAACATAAAAAGCTGCTACTTCAGTAATGCTTTTTTTTTTTTAATAATGGTTTATTTTTACATCGTGTTGTGCCTGTTTCCATCTCAGTTGTAATCGTGTGGGCTTCCCATCAGTAATGCTTTTTTTAAAAAAGTCTGTCTTTTTCGTTATACCAAAACCTCTCTCCAGTTGACATACTCTACGAACATACTTGTAAGATATATTAATTATTCGGACTGAAGATAATGCAAGTACAGGTAACTTGTAATAACTCCAGGGCTATTCCACAGGCTCAAAATCCAAGGGCTGTAAGTCGCCGTAAAGACGGGGCCAGGATGCGTGTCCAGAAAGCCGACTGCGCCTGTGGGAAACGTGCAGCGTTGTTGGGAGTCAGCGGTGTCACGTCCATTTTAAAGACCAAGGTCTGAGCACTTCAGATTTCTGTTCAGCCAAGTCTCGAGATAGGCAGAATAAATACATTCTTCAGAAGTGCGACTGACTTACTGTGGCCTTGCTTATTCTGCTTAGTTCAGGGGGGCCCTCCCGTGAGCTCCGCAGCGGCGCTCACGGGTCTTCTCGGTGGTGCTGCGGACCTGAGACTCGCACAGCACAGAGGGGACCCTCTCTGGCTTCTCTGTGAGACTTCCAGAGATGGAACCACGTTCAGGAGTTGTGGAAGGTCATTTTAATAATAGAAAGCTAAGGACAGCTCCCGCATGCATGTGAAGTTTAGTCAAACAAAACTAACATAGGCCGGGGGAGAGATGGGTGAGTATGGCCGGGGGAGGACGCCCGGGACCTTTCGGAGGCAGAACCCAGGTGGTGCCAGATTCGAGACTCCAGACCTCACTGGACCCTGGGCCGGGGCCTGGAGAGACCAGCTGGACAGGCGACGTCCCACTTCACAGGTCAGGACAGAAGCCGCATCTGAATCCTCAGTGCCTGGGACACAACCAGTTCACCGTGGAGCCGTGCCAGGAGCTTTTTTCTGTTCTGCTTTTCCAAAAACTGAGGGTGATATTTTCACTCCCGTGTGCACATGCTTCATGGAATCCTCTCACACCTAATCTCTTCACTTCCATGCAACACCAAGTCCTAAATCCTTGGAGTGCGACTGTCACAAGGAAGGGTGTCGTGTGTTCAGCCTGACCTCTCTCTCCCACAAGCCTCAGCTCCCACTGTGCAGGTGCTGACCAAGGCCGGCACAGGTAAGATGCGTCCTCTTGGCCCCGGCTCACTTGGCCCCGACCTCTTTCCTCACGGAGTTCCTCCTGTAGGGCCAGCCCTGTCCTGACTGCTAACCTGGGGCAAGAGGTCGCTTGTCGAGAGTGGGAGAGAGGATTTGGGACTTCAGAAGAAAAGGGAAGGCTCCAGAGACTGCTTTGGGCGTTGATAGACAGACAGACGTGACCAGAGAGGCCGGCGAGGCCTCAGCGGACGGCACAGTGCACTCTGGGGTGTCCCTGCCCCCCGCGGTGCCATGCGGCTGCTCCGAGAGCCGGGTGCTTCTTCGCTGACCACTTCACGCCACGTCAGCTCTGGCCTGGCCTTCTTTCTTTGTGCTCCCCCTTGGCTGGTTTCTCCTCACTGTGCAGTAATAATAAAACGTTTCTCCCCCCACTCCCCAGAAAGAATGTTCTCAGTGTGTTTGACTTGCTTGTTTATTTTGCTGTGTTGGAGGGGAGGGAAGTAAAGTTCTTTTGGGGTGCAAAACACTTGTGTTTAACCAGCGCAGCATGCGAGCTCTGCTGCCTTTGGGAAAGCTGTTTTCATTTGCGACAAGGTGGGGAGCAGGTGGGTCTGCTCCATGGAGAAGGAGTGCATCGGCCTCATTTTACACTCCGCTCCCCCAGATCCTGAATATATTTTCCCATGTCCAGTTTTTTTCTTGGCATACTGTAGTGTGAAAGGCACCAAGCTGAAGAGTCAGATGTGTATGTTGACACAGTTTGAAAGGTTCTTCTGGCACCAGGCTTACAAGACTGTAGAAGAGAAAAGAAAGTTGTCATTACTGCCACACAATTGAGCAGAATGCAGTTGGGAATCATTCCGGGATGAGCATTTGATGGGCTTGTGACGAGAGAGGAAATGGAAAAGGGGGGAAACCTTGCGCGTCTAAAGCTCAGTTGTGCTCTCCAGTGTCTACGCCTGGTGACGGTGGGTGAAGGGCCAAACCGGCCTGGCCTGCTGGGGGGGCTGGGGGACACTCAAGGACATATGCCTCTGCAGGGGAGGCGGGGCTCCCACCCGTGGCTCCCGGTGGTCCGGTGGGGCGTGGCTGTGCGTGGGGCTGGGGCCCTAGGGAGCCCTGGCCCTGCTCGTGACCCAAGAAGCACAAGAGTTCTGCGTGGCCTCCCCGGACCTCAGAGCGCGTGTACTTTTTTCTGCTGAATCTGCCTCTTCATTCTGCCAAGCCTTGAGTTTGGGGAGAAGCATGATAAAGAGGACTGAACAAGCAGAAGCTCATTCTCTAAACCTAACTAGAAAAGGGAGAAGCTTAGAGAATTTTATTCTCACAAAACGTGGGCATCAGTGGCAGTAAGTGGCAGTTGGATGTCCTGTTCTGGCCACTGGCCTCCGCTGAGGACTGTCCAGAAGCCACCGCAGGCAGGTGTGTCTCAGGCCTCATCCATGCACACAGCAGCCAAGGCCCCTCACCTCAGCTCGCGGCCCTGGCTGTGCCTAGCAGAGGTGGCTGCATTTACTTGCCCCTCCCGAAAGCGGCTTTCCCTCACAGGCCTGACCGCTGACCCAGAGGGGCGCACTCTGCATCAGTCTGGGGTCTCTCATCAGTCCCTGGGGACCAGCCTTGCTCCCCTGGTGGATGTCTGCCTGTGGGCACCCAGGGCTTGAGCGCGTCCCTCCCCTGTGGCTTCGTTCCACTTGCCTCCTGGAGAGCAGCTATGGTGTCGCAGCCACACGCCCTCGTTGCTGGGGAGCACAAGGGCTTTGTGAACGCACCTTGCAGGGCCAGCAGGCTGGCGACCAGCACTGCCCAGGCCACTTCTCGCGGGCAGACGGAGCAGCAGGCCCTCGGGGCTCTGTCTGGACTCAGGGTGTCTGCTTTGCACCAGCCCCTTCACCGTGTAGGCCCTTGCTCCTGGGTCACGATAATCATAGGCAGAGGAGGGTTTCGGAAACCACTTTACTTTTGCATCATCTCAGAACACTTTCATGGTCTCCAAGGATACTTCTCAGCTTAGTTCATTGCCCAAGTAAGTATTTTTTAACATTTGTGGGTGATGATGTACTTAAGCAGCAATAAATAAATATAGAATCTGCTCTGTTCACATTGGGCACGCAAGCACGCCTACGTGGGAGTCTTGGCAGAGAGCTAAAATAGTTTAGCCACTTAGAATCGGATCTTCCCAAATCTTACTTAAAACCGTCTTCCGGAATCATCCCAGCAGCTTAACTTAGATGAAAATCTTGAACTCTGGAATAGATCTGGATTTTTAGGCATAATTTATTAATGGAGTGAACTCAGGTTGTGTTGAGTTGCCACATGACAGGAATAATTTCTCCTTCAGAAGGCCATGAAGGTCAATGAAATAATCGCATCACTTAGCGTAACACCTGGCGCACCTTGAGAATGTAGTAAACGGTAGACATGGTTTACGACTACATGAATGCCTGTCTGGCCTGTTAGTTTAACCTTCCAAACCCTCTATTTGGTAGGCATTCAAATATGCTGACCCCAATATTTAAATATCTGACAGCAAGATGGGTATGCTACCTGAGGAAGACCATCTTGAATGGAAAGATATAGGGTGCATTAGGAGGACACAAATCCTTGCTTGTACGAAGTCCTTTATTCTCCAAGATGTCACACTGTCCCTGAGATATACAGTCAGTATATGTTAGCAGAAAAGTAAAAAAGAGGAATTTCCTCCTGTGAGGTTAACTGGAACAGACCACTCACATAAATAACAGAAGAGTTTTTAGCCTCTGGTGCAAAGCTAAAGTAATTCAGACTGTCCCATAGAAAAAAGTCATTAAAACTCTTCAGTGGTGTGGGATATACAAATTAGCATTTTGGATGAGTCTGGGTGGCAGGAGAGAATAGTCTGGAGGCAGAAACTATTTCGAGTCCATGAATCATTTATTAGCAGCACAGTGATGGGGCCTGAGGTAGGTGTGGGAGATGAAAATGACACACCGTTAGGAGGCTGTTGGAACATCTTAAGTGTGAGATGCTGAGACCTGGGAAACACCTTTGGGAGAGAAAAGCATGAATGTGGGAAAGACCCAGCCACACTTAGTGACTGACTGTAAGGGGCAAGAGAAAAAAGGAAGAGCCAAAGCCTTGATGAAACGCACAGAAACGGGTGCGCAGGTGTGTCTGAGTCTGCAGACATGATGGGAGTTCCTGGTTGTCAGTGGAAATGTTTAAAGGAAAGAGATTAGCACTGGCACTTTGGTCTGTAGGTGAGTTGCAAGGAGGAGCAGGATTGAGTCGTAGTGGGGGAGAACGTAAGAAAGACGGGAGATTGCAAGGCCCTGGGCGTCTGTTTTCATTCTAGAATTTCTTTATTCCTTTCCTCTATTCGATTCTTTGTCTCCTGGATGTCATTTTGTCCTTTCTGTTGACTGACTTGTCTTGCTTGAAGCACATACCCTGGTTGCTTAAGGAAAGTCACATGAAGGCATTTGGTTGCCGAGTAGCTGCTCAGAATCTGGAGCCAGGATGGTCTACATGCCGGACCTCAAGACCTGCCTTTACTGGCTCTGGTCAGTTAGTGGTATTGGACATGCTGCTTTTCCCTTTAGGATTCAGACTCAGGGTCACTACACATGGGATAGCTGGCCTCCCTGGTGGCGCAGGGGTTAAGTCTCAGCACTATGAAGCTGTCTGCAACTACTGCAGCCCGAGTTCGATCCCCGGCCAGGGAGTGACCCACAGGGCGCAGCAGACCTCTTCTGACTCCCCGCTGCTCCCCTCAGCATGGATCTCGGTACCATCTGTTCTGCACCCCATTCTGTCTCTGGTGAGTCCTCTTGCCCTCCACACCTCTGGCCTTCGTCCCGGTTCTTCTAAACAAAAATAAATAAAAAACCATGGGATAACTACCTCATTAAAATTTTTTTTTAATTAAAGACAAAATGAGGTTGCCTTTGTATTCCTATTTTGAGTAAAGGCAACAGTTTCCAGCGGCCATGGTGGGAAAGGAATCACGGGCAGGAGATGGCCTGTCTAGGGCCTGAAACAGCCACTCCTGTCTCAGGTGGTCAGCCCTGCTTACCTTCCCACCTTGGGCCCAGGGGCCTGTGGGACTCACCTGTAACAAATGGAGAAAAAGTGGCCTTGGAGACGGAGGTCCGGGCTGGCACTCCTGGAACCACATTGGTAGGTCCCTTTGGCCTCCTCCTGACGGGGTCCAGTGTGTACCCCAGCTCGGGCAGGCCAGCCCTGGCGTCGCCTGCCCCTGGGTCCCGTTTAGGGTGCAGTTGCTGCAAGCTGGTCTCAGAACAGTTTGAAGGGCGGTTCTTGCACAAAAACACGGTCAGCCCCTCTATCGTTTCTCTCTCCGTCACCATGGACGGAAGATATTTAGTTGACTTCCTTCCTCGGAAACTGAGGTGGAGATGGTCACGCATCCCGGAACAGGAGGGGGGGAGTGACTCCCGGCCTGCTCACGGGCAGAGGCCGACGCTGGAGGCTCGCGGGGATGGAGGAGGCCGCCTGCCCCCAGTCACTGCGGCCCTGCCCTCCGAGCCCTGCAGTCCCAGCTCGCCCTTGGCCCAGAAATGGTTCCTGCTGTATTTCTACACTCCGGTGAACTCCCACAGGGCCTTGAACTGTGAGCGTGCTTTATACATCCAGCCCTCATAGCCCCGGAGACAGGCCTTGCTGTTCCCTCGCAGATAAGGACGTGGAGACTCGGAGTGAGTAAATGGGCTGCTAACTGGACAGAGGTGGTCTCAGGACCCCAAACCTGGGTCCCCTGAATGCACTGGAGGGATCTTGGCACACGGCCTGACGACCAGGCCCATGGGCCAGAGTGGAAGCAGAATGCGCCGGAGGGCTGTAGCCGTTCTATCAAAAAACGTGGGTGGCATTTATTCAGCTTTTCGTCAACATTCAGAAGGGTGGGCTTTCCTTCTCCCCTAGACGAACAGCTCGGGACCACGCCGTCCTGCCGCTAAGATCCTCCCAGGGCTCCCTCTCGGGCTGGTAGGGGTCGGCTCACCTCCAGGCCGGCTGTGCCCAGTGACCAGGAGGAGGACCCGGGCTAAGCAGCCCCTGCCAGGCGCCGGCCACATCCCGCGCACTCCCAGTGGCTGCAGACACGCGAAGGGGACGCTGGTCCCGCTGGGGCCCTCGGCTCTGTCCTGAAAGCACATCCTGCATCAGCAGTGGTTTCCGCCTCTTTCAAAGTTGCTGCACAGTACTCATAGCCCTGTCAAACCGCGCACCTGTGAGCGCTGACGTGTGACCAGCATTTCTAAAGCTCACTGCAGTGAGCAACCCTGTCCATCGTCATTTCGCCAACGGGGACTCCTTGAGTGGCTCTGTAGCCCAAGGGCATCTGCACGAGGCGAGCCAGGGCCGGTGGCCTCCGGGGCTGGCCAGCAGGAGATGGAGGAGACTGTGCTGCCCACCGTCCGCAGCGAGATGCCAGCCGGGCGATGAGGGATGGTCTCGGGGGGACAGGCAGAGGTCTCAGGGCCTGGAGCCCTGTCTTCAGCCCTTCCTATGTGGCAGTATTTGGCAAACAGCTGCCATGTGTTGGACGCCACAGGCTACGCAGGCCGCTTGACCAGCAGAGGCCAACTTCTGGCTGGACGTTTATCTTAGTGGTTAAACACAGCTGCCACGTCCTGAAACACCGGCTTGTCAGCTGACTTTGAAACTTCTGAGCTGTGTCATTCTGAGCAAATTTCTTCACCTCTCCAAAAGTTAGTTCACGAGTCTATAAAATGGTGACAGTAATATTCTCTTCCCTGGGTGGTTGTTAAATCAGAGAACTTACAGGAAGGACAGATGGTGCTTGGCCTGGCGCCTATCAGGACGCGGTGTTAGTCCTTTCTATGGCTCCTCATACACCACGGCCCACCTATCTGTGTTTTGTTCTTGCAAAATACTGAGTGAGCACTTATGTTTCGGACACTTTTAGAGTCACTTGTAGTAAGCACGGAGCCTCAGAGAGGAGTTACTGCGGCCTGGACCCACAGTGTCTAAGCTGTGGGTTACAATTAGAGCGAGGACTCCAACCCCCAAGTTCTGTGGGTCTTTCTCCTGGATTCATCCCTCCCCTCTTTGTCGGAGACCAGCTCCAACTATTGAGGTGTCTGGAGGTAAGACAGGCAGGACCCTAAGGTAGGAAGGCGTCGGCAAGTGGAGATTCCTAAAAAAGGGGGAAAGGGAGAAAAAAGGGGAAAGGGGGGCGAGGAAGACACGGGAGTTGGAGTTGGGTGCAAGTCTTCCTGCTCTGCCTTCAGCAGAGATTTATTTTATACATTACGAGCAAGCAGTGGGATGACATCAGCACACGAACTGGGCTGAGAGATTACAATCATCTTTGTTTTCTAAGAACAGTTTAGGGTCGTATTGCCCTTTAGCTGAGATATAACATTCCAAAATCAATCAAGGTTAAAAACAGGAACATAAGTGCACAAAGTTTATGACTAAAATTACTATAGTGGAGATCAATTAAGATAGAAGTCCCTTATACCTTATCTACTACTTAATGGGTTTTTGTTTTTCTACCTGAGTCATCCTGGGAGGCAGAAGAGGAAATTCCTTGCTAATCAAATCTGAATAGGAGACATAGGTGAATTTCCTTATCTAAAGACTACATAGAATCCTGAAAAACTAGCCAGAAGACTTTTGTGGATTCCTTTAAGGTGTAGCAGGTGGAAAACTTGACTAGTTTCCAAACAGGCAACCTGGATGAGTTTCCACACCTAAAGGCCAAACAATAGGAAGTTTGAGGAATTCTATAAAAAGCTGAATAGAAGGCTAGGTGAAATAATAGAATGATAAGATTTGGGTTATCCTCCATCCTGCAGTGAGAGAGACTTTGCAAAAACAGCCCTTTTGTGTTTATTTACCAGTCAGTAGTCAAGTCACTTGACTTCAGGGGAATTTCTCACCCTGGTACAGGGCTTGCTTGTCAGGGCAGGCAGGCCTCATGCGGCTGAGGCAGTCCAATTGTAAGCTGAAAGTTGCTCAGAATATTTTGATATTACAATTATACAAAAAAGGGAGGTCATAACATAAGTTAGTGTGGAAAGTCTGATTTTTCAGAGCATTTCCCCTCCATCCAGACCGTGTCTGAGGACAGAGGTTGCATAGCTCGTGTCACCTCTTCTCACAACCATCTGCCCTTCACACAAGGAGGGTGTGGTAACAGTAATGAAGTCATAGAGTTTATCAAGGAATAGGAAAGGAGAAATCCTAAGTGAGGAATGTAGAAAAGCTGCAAGATAGGGGGGCACTGGGCTTGGCCAGATGTTGGGGCGTCTGCGGGATGGAGTCGGTGGCGGCTGTTGAGGGTGAGTGGGCTGGGAGATTTGGCCTCCCGCCCTGCTTGCTCTGGCAGGTGTTGGGAGGGTCATGTCCCTGCTCTGGGAGGCCTCCTGCCACTGCTGCAGCGGTGGGGCGGGGCCGGAGGCAGGTGCTGTTTCCTGGGGGGAAGCGCAGGGCCGCGCAGGTGCTGATGCAGGAGTGGCCAGGCCTCTCCGGCCTCGCGCTGAGCTGGAGCAGAGCGTGTAAGGCTGTCGGGCCGCTCAGGGTGCTGGGGTGACGCGGGGTCATGACGGTGGGGACCGGTGACCTTGGGCCCCGCGCGGGCTTGCGGGCGGATGCGGGCGGCCCCGCGGAGCTGCGCACTCCGGCCGCTAGAGGGCGCCGCTCTGCCGAGGACGCGGGAGACCTTGCGCCCCTGCCCGCGCGCCCAGCCCAGCTCTCCGTCCTGGAGCCTGGGCGGGCGCCGTGGGGCCAAGGCGCAGCTGGGGAAACCCTAAAGGTCGGTGGAGTGTGCGGATAGGGAGTGGCTAGGACTCCAAGGGACCGTTTATACCTGGAAGAAGGGAGGGCGCAGGGAGGGGCGGCTGGGGACCTTGTGGTCTGCCCTGCCGGGGGCTCTCCTCTCCATAAATGGGGCTGGCGGGTGGGGATGAGGATGGAGCCCAGGCGTGGCATCCTCCCTTCGGGCCTGCCTCTGGGTGCCTCATGTGGGTAGCCCAGGCGTGTG